TTTTTTTTTTTTTGGTCCGATGGACCACGGATCAGATATTAAACTGATCAGAACAGATACTACACTTGATCTTAGCCAAAAGGCCGAGAAAGGTATTCACTTTAAAATTCTTATCCGATCTGGAGATAAAAAATGAAAACAAAAAAATATATATATAATTTTTTATTTTTTATTATCCGGATTTATCCGGAAATTCCGGATAAACCTTTTTAACCCCGGATGTTCTGGCCGGATGTTCCGGAGAGTTAATCCAGCTGGACATGGCATGCTACCTAGGTTTTTTCACTTTTACTGCGCAGTAAAAGTGAAAATGATCACATCGGTTTTTTGAACTTTTTCACTTTTACTGCGCAGTAAAAGTGAAAGTGATCACATCGGTTTTGTCACTTTTACTGCACAGTAAAAACCATTGTTGTTACTGTGTGGTCCATCTTTGTCACTTTTACAATTATAAGAATTATGATCCCAATGGACAACGCAGTCGACCGCTCAGAAATTCATCCAACCCAAAGAAACATGCCCCCTTCCTGGTACAACCTCCTTCACCATTCTTCCGTGCAAAGCATCACCATCACAACCCAAAGAATCTGTGTTTTTTTCTTCTTTTTCTTTTTCTTCTGTCAAAAGCATCAAGCCATCGCAACCCAAAACAAACACGTCAGTAATTACTCTCTCCGACGCACAGATGCAATGACAACCTGCCAGTGAAATGACAGACTGACAAACTGACGAAATTGGCAGAACTCTGAGAACAGACAAAATTGATGAATCTGACAAACTCGTTGAATCGTCGATGCGTCCAAAAAAAAACAAAAAAAAAAGGGAAAATTCAAAATTGTTGAAATGCCCCCGAAAGTTTGGGTATTTGTCAGCTACCCCTAGAAGGCAGGATGGGTATGGCGAAATGCCCCAATGACAGTAGTGAAAATTTGCAAAATACCCCCGTCGCCAATCGCACCTGTCATCTTATGCAGATACCCCTACTGGGCCCTAGGCAACTTGTCTATATGCCCCCGTATTTTTTTAGGCCTTTGGACCCCCTGCAGATTGCAAAAGAAATGCATCGGCCCCGTGCAGCCCAGGGTCAGGGCATATGGCGTAGTTGCCAATGAGCGTGGCAGGGGCAGATGCAGAAGTTTGGCACTTTTCAGCGTACCCCTGTGTTTTAGAGGTATCTCTCGAAATACCCAAACTTTTTGGGGTATTTGCACCCATATTTCATCAAACCAGACCAAAAAAAAAAAAAAGAAAAACAGCAACAACTCCGATGCCGCAGGTTTGGTCAAAGTTTTTGTCTCTTCCTTATCCCGCTTTTTACTCCTGTCCCTTACTCCCAATGTGATGGCTCTTGCTCCCAAGGAAAAAATTTAAAAAAAAAAAAAAAAAAAAAAAAAAAAGCAGGATAAGGAAGAGACAAAAAAACAAAAATCTGCAATAACTCAGCTCACATATGCATCAGCCGTGTGCTGTAGGTCGACACTTTGTTCAAAGACCCGTAACTGGGGATCCAGATTCTCGCCCAAGTCGTGAAATTGCTGAAACGAGGGCTTGCCCCTGTGGGGTATCCAAGGCCAGGCCAAATTTAGCCTTCAGAGGCCCAACGAGAGGTAGTTGACTTTTTGAAGTCAACAGTCAACCTCCGCTCGGGATACAGGCCCACGAGTCAAAGTCAACCCGATCCCGGCCTCAGCTACAGATCAGATACACACCTCTGGTTGTTTGCAGGCATCCAGATGAGATCAAGCCCAAGTGCGACACGTTGGTTTCTGCAACTGTACGGAATCCAGGCCATTGGCTGAAGGACGATCCGGGCCATCTTATGTGAGAGACTAGAGGCTGGCCAACGTACGTCAACGCTATACGTTGACTTGTACAAGTTGCTGATGGACAGCATTCAGTCTTGTACGAGTTGCTGGACGCTGGCTTGACGATGCGAGACTGCCGGAACTTTATGCTGGCACCATTTTCTGCTTGCGGCGCCAGCCACGAGGGCAATTGTGCTGACGTGGCTTTTGCCACACTGATCTTGACATTGAGATAGCGTATGGGCGAGGAGGAGGATCACGGCTGTGAGATTGGTTCGATTGTGGAGGGGTAGCTTACCCGATTGCGACCGTGTCGGCATTGCGCATTGCTGTACGTCTTCAGGAGAGATATGCACCATCCTCCCAGGCCGCTGATGACGTGGCTGGGGGATGGGCGCCCTGCTGTAACCTGCTTGCTGTCAGAGTCCGTCAGAGAGATACTCTTGCTGGCTGACGTGGCGAGTGGGGAGGATGCCCGAGGAGGAAGCGGGCTTGTGAGTGAGCTCCGTTCAATGATGATGATGGAAACTCTCTCTTCCACCCTCTCTTAAGTCTATCCTCCCTCTCTCCTCATCTTCTTCTCTGAGTACGTGATATTGAGATACATGGTCGACAAGTATGGTTTCATGAACGATTTTTGGAGACATTGTTTCTGCGCAGTGACATACCGCGTGACTAGGTTCATTACAAACCTTCCCCTTACCCAAAGTTTCAGTCATTGCTGTGTATGTTGTCTTCTCGGCAATCAGCCAACCGACTCTGGCCTACAAAGAAAAAGAAAAAAAACTAATTAACTAAAGTAATGGTTGCCAA